TGCCAATGAATAAGAATCATAGGGTGCAACAATGAAATCTACAACTTTTCTGGCATCCCTTGATTTTAATCAAAACACATGCATGCCATCCCCAAATCCCTTTGAACTCTTCTAATTCAAGGGCTGGCTTTATAAGAAAGGATAAAATTGTTATTTTATTGTTTTTAACAATTTTAACAATTTTATTGTTAAAATTGAAAACAATACAGTATAATGGCAACTATCTTTTGAGTTATGGATCTCTGTGAACCTTATGACCAGGGCAATGTAGATAATAGATGATGTCAAAGCTGAAAGATACCTATTATTATCTCATCTGCCTTTTTCATGAATTTTCTCCCTCTACCCTCACTCATTTTTTCAGTCTTGAAATTAAACATTCAGTTCTAATTTTAACTTTCTATAAAAAGGTAGTAGGACACAAAACCTTCAGGACAGCATATCATTTCTCAGCTATGCTTGTGATCTCATGGTTTCTCATTGTTTGCAATGCTTGAGCTTTGCGGAATCTATTGGAACACAAACTTCTTACGCACTAACAATTATATCAACAGACTGTATTATTCCATTCTGACAGACATGGTTTAAACATATTTTCAGATTGGTTCTTTTTCCCTCCTATATTCTCATTTTCAGTATGATAACTTCAAGCTAATGATCACAAATACAATTACAGTACTTTTTGGTAGCTTTAGTTAATAAAAGTATAACAAACAAATATTCAGTCAGATTTTTTCTGTATCTTCAGTGTTGTCTGGTAGTTTTAGCTAATAGTTACATGCTAAGATCACAACGTTAACTATTTGTTGTTTTAAGTTACTTTGGATTAGCAACAAATGATATTAATCTCTAGAAATCCATCTACAATAGTAAGGTGAAATGGTTATCAAATTTTCTGTGAATTGTGAATTTCTATGAATTTCAGTTCTGTGAATTGTGAATTTCTGCTTGAAATATAAGATGATTCATGATAATGCTCTTCAAACTGAATTGATAAAAATCAAATTGCATATGCCTCTTAAACTGAAAATCTGGGATACAGTATATTTGGTATTTATATATTTATTCAAACAAGGTATATGGTTTCCATCTCACAACAGTCACTTGAGGGGGACACCTAGCATAGAAATTAAAGCTCAATAAAAGTTTCCCACAATAATTGGCAACTGAGGAATAAGTCACTACAATAACTTGCATTTCACGGGTCTCATTGATCTCCCAACCCTGCATGCTTTAAGGCTTTAGGAGAACATTGCAGAACATCAGAAAAAGGAAACAGATCATCTATACAACGTCTTGCAAAAAAAAAAATGAATACCCACACAACTTTATCAAAAAAAGTGCCTGACTCAACCCAATATAGCACAACCTACGCAAGCTGTGAAAGCATAACACTGCCACAAAAACATTTCAGAAACCATCATTAGAATTATCTGGCCTCACCAGGCATACAAACAAACTAAAGTCCTCTGAAACATCCTAAGTAGACCAAAAGACCCAGCAGTCCCATCAGAAAAAAAATAATCATCTTTCTACAGCATACAGTGAAAGGACTGTAACAGCCATTATGTAGGACAAACAGCCAGAAAATTAGCAGAACGCATCCATGAACACCAGCTATCAATCAGCAGACATGAAAAAACTATAATTGCACAACACATGGACAGACTTTGAATATCCTAGACTAAGCAAGTCCAAAAATACTAGAGAATTCCTGGAAACCTGGCACTCAGACAAACTAGCCATCAGCAGACACATAGAGATAAACAACATCTACATACCATTTAAAAGAGACAATCAAAAAGCCAAAAAGAAAAAAAGAGCAAATTCTTCACCCACAATTAACACTCAGGTGAGCAAAGATTAACCCCCCCCCCAAGATTAACATTATACTAACAATCAAGAAATAAATAATACCCCAGTGAAAGAACCATTGACTCAGACAAAAAAGCTAACAGTAAAAAAGACCTTTATCAAGGAACCACCTAAACCACATCCACTAACACTGACAGGGCAACACTAGTATATAAAATGAGGGCAAATGATGATCTTACCGAGTTTGGTAATGAAACATCTGCAAGAAAACAACCAAACTCAGAGAGCAACAAGAACCCTACACCTTTATGAAAAGCCAGATTCTGGGGAAAGGGGAGATAAGTGTTTCAAAGGGCAGATTCTGCAACAGCAAAAGCCAACTTCTTAGGCCCCACCACATAATATTCTATGACTATGATGGCGAACCTATGGCACACGAGCTGGAAGTGGCATGCAGAACCACTTCTGCCAGCACACGAGAGGTCACCTGGAAGAGCCCCACTGCGCATGTGCCCCCTCACCAGCCAGCTGATTTCCAGGTATCTGCCGCGCAAGCGCGGGGGAGACACATGCGTGGGAGACATGGGCACATGTGCAGAGACATGCAGCATGCGGGAAGGGTTGTGTGTGCATGCACAGAGGTGTGCGGTATGGGGGTGTGCAAGGGGGCAAAGAGAGTCACACGCACATTGCATCATGGGTGCAGGCACACGAGCACGTGCACACAAGCACACTTTTGGCATACAATGTGCAAAAGGTTAGCCATCACTGTGCTATGATATGTGAATTCAGACAGTTCTCTTTCACTAGTATCTAATAGCATAGGTGGAAACAGTGTATATATGCATGGATGTGCATAGTATATCCATATAAAATGTGGATATATTTTGAAGAATCACCATATTAAGTTAGTATGTGGGGAATCTCTTTGAATATTAAGTATAAAAATGCCCTGCCAGCCATTTTTTCATCCAACAGAAAATTTTTATGATTAATAACTAAAAGGAGAAATAAAGAAGAAAGTGTTGGTCATGGAAGAATTAAAAGAGGAAGGGTGAATGAAATTCTTAGGAGTAAAATTTTGTTTATTAATCAGAAAGCTACACCTTTTTGTTTGAGCTAATACTGTCAGATTCAAGCAAATTTTCTTTTCATGGGGATTTGAAAATAGTCTTTGATATTCTTGTCTTCTAGTTCCAGCTTTGAGTAGAATCTTTTTGAGCAATCCAGAAGGCTTTGATTTGGCTCAAAAATAATTATATAATAGCATTAGATGCTAATATTTAGGTAGAATATGAGTAGTTTTAAAGGTAGCTCTCCATACAATATATATCAGATAGATATCATTGGTGCCTCAGAATGAAAAATACTTGAATGAAAGATATTTTAATATAATTGTATTTTCTGATTTTCTGTCTGCCACTCAGACTTACTTCAAAATGTTACATTATCATTTGTAATGAAAACCTAATCTTATATATCTGTTTATCTGCATGGTGAAAATGATTAGAATATTTTCTGCAATATAAAAAAATCAATTAGAGTATTCATATTTAAACTAATATCTGCCTTTAGAACTTATTTATTTTACTTGTGATAAATTACATATTTCACACATCCTTTGTTGTTGTCATCGTTTGTATGTTCTTCTATTTTAACAAACTGTTGTTGTTTTTTTAGTTTCCAAGCATAAAAAGTAAAATAGGTTCTTATCTAACAGACTCATTTATCCTGTTCATTAAAGTAACATGATTCTTAATCCTAATCCATTTTGGAAAGTATAACCTGCCTTAATTATCACTATCTCATTAATTTTTTTGTTCAAACAATATGTAAGCAAAGTGTATGGTTAGCACATTATATATAAAATCAAATGATTTTTAAGTGAATGAATAAATGAAATGGTAGAAGTTGAATTATAATAAATTCTATATTGTTAACAGTATTTCTGATAGTTGGTAAGATATCTTGAACATAAAATCTGTATAGTTGGACATCCCTAATATGAGTATATATATATATTCACATAATTGTTCAATTATCAATTATTGTAATGGTATTTTCTACTAAAACCAATTCCTTTCCAAAAATATCAAATAAATAAATAAATAAAAATATAATAAATTACAGCTTTGATGGCAAAAAACGCTTTCTTTACATTAAAATGAAGAGAAATTTGTGGCAAATTAGATCAAAATTGCATTTGATACTGATAGAAGACATTGAAATAAATGAAATATGTGAGCTATTAAGTAATACTCATTGTGGTTCTTCTGAGTTTCTTGGTAGAAGATCAGAATAAAAAAATGAAGCAAAGAATTGGACAGTTGAGATGATGTATACATCCCTTTGCTATGAGTTCACTTGCAAAGCAGGACACAGGTTCTGATACATTGGAACTAATTTACAGAAATTTTGAGAACAGGGTGAAAGTTTATGGTTTCCCATGGTTCAGTTCTTATAAAAACAATATGTTTCACTTAATATTCAGCTGTAGTATTATAGCCATGAGACTTTTCCAAATTTGACATGTCAGGAGTTAAAGATGTGTTTAAGCCTCCCCGCCCCCTTTTGAAACCTGGAAGAGGAGGGTTTAGGACCAAATGGGTGTTCTTTCATAAAATTAGTGTGAAATGTGCCACTGCTGATACAAGATTTCAACATAGCAGTTTAGGAGTGCTTTACCATTGCCAAAATAGACAATTCATGGATGATGTGGTTTGGGCCTAGATAAAACAATTATAGTTATCTGTGCTATGAAAGCTATATGGTATATGCAAAGCTGTTGCATATCTTTGTTAATTTCTGCAACCAATTTTACTTTAAAGTACTATGCAAAATTTAGATTTTAAACAAATATAGAAAATATCTAACTATTCCAACTCAGTGTTTAATTATAAATGCAATTCCATGCTAATTAAATTATAAGAATATGAAAGATTTTCATTCAACAATCACTGGGGATTTGTCTAGAATTGTAAATAATTTTTTGCCCATTTTAGTCACTTTAACATTTTCCCACCTGTACAAAATGAAGCTTTAGAACCACAAATTAAAGCAGCAGAAATTAATTCATTATCAGAGAGAGAAAAAGGTTTGTTAATTGTTTTATGTGCTCATCAATCAATATTGTTTGGCTTGTGTCCAAATCAAATCCTTTGAAATGAATCCTTTTAATTTTGCAGATAGTCTTCATGACCTTGACTCTGTTCCCCATCCGGCTGTTTTTTGCTGCGTTTATGATGTTGCTGGCTTGGCCTTTTGCCTTCATTGCCTCAATAGGATCTGCTGAAAAACACCTAGAAAAGCCTCTATCGTGGTGGCGAAAGTAAGTTGTTAATGTCCGTTATACTTGCCAGTATCCCTTGCCATATCTCAACTGGTATGGTATAAGATACCAATGAGCAAAGTGGGGCCCATTCAGCTTCCCAGGACCCCACTTATTCACCCTCGCAGTAGCTCGGCCCCAGAATATGGCAATTATTATTTCCCGTGATGTTATTTCAGTGGAACTAGCATTAGGGTCAGGATGGGAGAGGTTTATTTCCCAAAGCATGAAGTTATGTAGCCCGCATGATACATGAGAAACTGAATTGTGGTCTCCAGCCTCCAAATATTTTTATGATGATGCTAAAATGAATTTGCTGCAGAGAAAGTACACTTCCATAATAAGGCATTATAATTTGCATGCATGCACGTGTGTGTGTGTATGTGTGTGTGTGTGTGTGTGTGTGTGTAAACAATATGGTAAGAATTCAATTCACAGAATGTTCTTGGGTGCCCACTCTTCTTTCTTAACTTGTCTCAGATAATTGCTTAAAGACATAATGCTGGAATAACTGTACTATGCTGTGCTCTAAAATACTGCTTCTGGAGTAATAAGTTCACATAAAATGCAAAAGTTTTCATTGTTCAATATCGGTGTTTCTCAGATTGTGTGCTAAAGATTTTCCCCCTTCCAAATGGTGATTTTCAATACATAAATCAGGCAGCAGAGTTTGCTTACAGTGAATAGCTTCATCCTACAATGCTACTTATTTTTTAGTGTAGAATCTTCCTCACTTACTTAAATTGCATTGGTATATATTACTTTTCTTTTTAAACTTGAAGATGAGTTGCTGAAAATGTTGATAAGCTTCTGAGAGCTTCTGTTTCTGGAAGTATTTCTGTGTGTGCTCTGCTATGCAATGTTAATACCAGGATTAACATAGGGTACATCTGATTGGATCAAAATCTAAGAGTTGCTGAGCAATTTAGCCTCTCCTCATTCATACTTTTCACATTTAGTCATACGAGAAATAATGTAGAAAATAACCTTCTGTTGGCCGAGTGTTTCATCACATTATCTTAAAAACAAAAAGAGGTTCAAATGCCTAGTTCTGACATATGCACATTGAAATATATTTTAAAGTAGCGATGCCCACTCCTTCACCTTTAGAGAATGCTTTGTGGCCAAGCACCTTATGCATAAAAATGTAACTTCTCTTTTTTCTTTAATGAAAGTTTTGCTTTGAGAGGGAAGGAATTCAACAATATTGTTGTTTTCAGCTGACAAATTAAGAAAGAGGTTCCATAGTAATATAATTTATATCATAGAATGGATACATTTTGCCTGTTTTGATTGAACATCTATGATGGATACTGACTGGGAGAGGCTCAAATGCATTCACTTCTTATTTAATGGCCTTCATAAAACTGATCTAATTGTGAAACTTGGTTTTTTTATTTTCCTGACTCTTCCAGTCATTTTGTTCAGATGCGGAGGAGACTTGATTATGTTTTCTAGAAATGTAGATAAGGAGGTGGTAACATGAATAGTAAAATCAGAGGAAAGCAGGATTGATTTAGTAGTTATTTATGGCAGTCTGGATAACTTAAGACTGCCTGTAGTCCTAAAAACTTTAGAACTATTCCTCTTCTGGAATAATCATTTCTAAAAAGCAGTAAACTATCCCCAAATCAGCACATTCTGAGAGAAAATATGAGGACAGTGGAACTTTTTGCTACAAGGCCACCAAATTTGAACACAGGTAATAAGATTTTAACTTAATTTTCATTGAATTTAAATCAGTTGTTTTGTCATAACTCCACCCATTTCTGTGACCTGACCTTTATTTTTTTCAGCTGGATACCTTGGCATGCTACTTAAATGCCAAGCATGGTTGTTGGTCCCCAAATTTACATACCATCAATTTACCTTAAGTGGTAGTAATTTTTATTTTATCGTGATCTACTGTAACCATCTGCCTTTGGAAATATATATAATAAAATCAGTCAGAGGAATCACTGGGCACATAGGTCACCTTTTACTGTTTAAGTATTTTTTAATTATCTGACATAACTGCATGATGCTTTAAAATTAAAAACATTATCAAGAAACAAGACCTTTATGTTTTTTAATATATTTAAAAAATTTGGTCAACTAGGAAGGCTTAGCATGTTATTTTAAAATAACAAGGTTGCTTTTGCATCTGTTGTATCCACTTGTTTTCAGAATTGTTGATATCTTGCTGAAGGCAATTATGAGGACAATGTGGCTTGCTGGTGGATTTCATTGGATAAATGTGAAGGGCAGACAGGCATTGCCCACTGAAGCAGCAATTCTGACCCTGGCTCCACATTCGTCGTATTTTGATGCAATACCAGTGACAATGACTATGGCTTCCATTGTTATGAAAGCTGAAAGCAAAGATATTCCTGTGTGGGGAAGTAAGTAGAAATACTATCTTCCAAGTAATATTCAGATGATTGATTGCATTTAGTTTTGGAAAAAACTTCTAAATATAATACCAACAAATTGATTACCTGTTGAATGTAAAGAACAGAATTTTAAAGAAAATCTTTGGGCCCTCCTGCAAAATGCTTCATATTTTTAATACGTTGCTATATGAGTCATTCTCACAGGGTCATATTTGGATTTTGAGAATCTATCAACTAGCCTCTTAGTTGCCAGCTTCAAAATGTTGGGATATGTATTATTAATCAAGCAAAGACTGTGTTATCAAATCACTTCAAGGACCACGATTCTACTCAAGTAGATTTAGAATGCCATAGGGCTGAAAAAACTACTGAAAAATATGGTTCAATTATACAGCATGTGTTGAAGTTACTTATAATATTTTATGGATTACCATTGATTCCAAGATCTCTTTGTAACTACAGTTAAGTGACAAAGCAAATACACCCCATGTAAACTACTTTTCCTATTTCTATTTCCTATTTGGATACAGCATTTTGTCATTTCAAACAGTATATAAAAATAAAGGTGATAAAACTGAATAGAAAAGTTCTGAAAAATGACTTTGCAATCATTTGTTCAACAAAAATTAATATGTATATGGTATATGCCATGTCCTTCTATACAAAAAGTTCTAATATCTTATATATTCCTTTTGGCAGAAACAACATCATGTTAGGCATCACTGTCTATCAATCTTTGACATCAGCTGGGGAAATTTTCCCACTCTTCCATGAAGAACTTTTGTCTGAGGGGTTTCTTACAAAGCTTGTTTCAAATCACTTTCACATCCCTTCATATCAATGAAATTTAGATCTGGGTTTTGACTTGGCCTTTTCGTTACCTTCCATTTCCTTTTATTTGTTTGCAACCATCTTTTGATGATTCATCTCTTGATGAATTTACTGGAATGCTTCAGGTCATTGCAATCTTGCAAGATACATTTTCGGTTGTGCTTCAGCCTTCTGACAGATTGTTTCATATTATTTTCAAGCATCCTCTAATACTATGAAGAATTCATACTAGATCCTATGTTAAGTGAGTTGCTCAGCCCCTGATGCAGCAAAGCAGCCTGAAACCATAACATTGCCACCAGTATGCATTATAGTTGGTGTTAGGTTCTTCTAGTGAAATGCTGTCTTTAGTTTTCTACAAACAAGTCTTTAATATTATGGACAAATAACTCTTATGTTTGTCTTATTTATTCAGTTCATTTTATTCCAAAAGTTTGTCTAGGCGTTCATGTGTAAACATTTGTCTTGTTCTGGTGTTCCTTCTGGGCAGCAAATGTTTCCATTTGGCACAGCTCCCATGTAAGATCTAATGTATGAAGCTTCTTTCTTATGGTACACTCACGTACTTAGATATCAGCAGTAGCAAGACTAGTATGGAAAGTCACATAATAAAATTTGAGTTAGCAACCTCATTCAGCACCTTGTATATTCCTTTTCCCAGGCTGAGCAGGTTGGCAATTGTTTAAAATGTTCTCCACTTCTAGATGTAAAGAACAGTAGAATAACTGATGTTGAATTGTTTGGCAACCTCTTTTAAATTCCTTTTCAGACATATAGGCATCTATCATCTCTTCAGACCTCAGAGGGCTCTTTAGAGCTAGGTACTGTGATACCACATACTTCAAAACAGAGCAAATTAAACTAAATATCTGAGGTTTTAATTATAAAGATTCCTACTAGATCCTGTGTGATGATTTTCTAATCATTTGCGCCTGATCTTGTGCACCTGATTGTAATCTTAAATATTTGAGGTAATAAATACAGTTGTGTGCTTACTCTTTTCACATGTGAAATTTGAGTTATGTTAACATACACAATGTGTTACAAAATGTAAGTAGTGCATAAGTTACATCCCCTTTATCAATATTGTTCAAATATCTCTACATTGATAAAGTCAAAACATTTCAATTCTTATTTTTTCACGGGATTGTATATTATTGCACCAGTTCTTGATGAAACTGTAATACTTTAAACTGCAAATGGTGCCATGCTTAATACTAAGGCTAGGAAAAATAGTCCTCTCTAGACAACTTCAATTTATACCTACCGTGTTTCTCCAACAATACGGCCTCCACCAATAGGAAGACCCAGCATGTTTTCTAGGCTTAAAATCAAATTAAGCACCTCCACCCAAATTAAGGTCCATATTAAAAATGCGAAATGGGGGAGAAATGGTGGGGGGGCTTGCCGTTAAGAAGTACTTTGTTGCATGCCTGGCTGTGGTGCTGCCTGCATAGGTGGGGCACTTCATATCGGGAGACCTTCCGCCGCCGTTGCTTTCCCTTCTCCCTTGCTGCCGTGGCGTTAGAGCAATGCCGCGGCATTTGGCGCAGCCACGTGCGGCCAGTCAGGGCTCCTCCCTGCAACCAGAGCCCTGAGGAGACACTTGGCTCCTGTCGCCGCCTTCCCTTTGCCTTCGAAGGTAAAGCAAATTATTTTGAAAACGACACCCTACTACAACAAAGCCTCCCCTGCCCGAGAGGGCAGCCCAACCCCACATGGGGAGGCGAATCTCCCGGGGCTGCAGTGCAGGATCGGCCCACCTTGGGAGAAGCGCCCAGCCGCCATCCCTGCCTGGCGCCGGGCAGGGTGTAAAGAGCTCCGCCTGGGGCGCCCAGTGCAGCTGACAGGCGGGCCCTCCTTCCCGGCGGCAGAGCTCTCATCAAGGCAGCGAGCGCCTCCCCACAGGGCATTCGGCTCATCCCGCCAGGGCTGCGCCGGAGCCGTGCAGGCTGGGCAGAGCTGGGAAAGTGAGCTGTGGGTGTTTCCCGGCTCTGCCCAGCCCACATGGCTCTGGCGCGGCCCTGGCGGGATGAGTGGAGGGCCCGGCGGGGAGGTGCTCGCTGCCTTGATGAGAGCTCTGCCGCCGGGAAGGAGGGCCTGCCTATCAGCTGCGCTGGGTGCCCCAGGCGGAGCTCTTCGCACTCTGCCCAGCGCCAGGCAGGGATAGCGGCTGGGCGCTTCTCCCAAGGTGGGCTGATCCTGCGCTGCGGCCCCGGGAGAGTCGCCTCGCCATGTGGGGTTGGGCTGCCCTCTTGGGCAGGGGAGACTTTGTTGTAGTAGGGTGTCGTTTTTAAAATAATTCGCTTTATCTTCAAAGGCAAAGGGAAGGCGGCGACACGAGCACCTGAAGCCAAGTGTCTCCTCAGGGCTCCGGTTGCAGGGAAGAGCCCTGACTGGCCACACGTGGCTGCGCCAAATGCCACGGTGGTGTTCTAACGCCACAGCAGCAAGGGAGAAGGGAAAGCAACGGTGGCCAAAGGTCTCCCGAACATCCAAGCTGTCGCTGCCCGCCCACCCGAGGATGCAAGGGGCGGGAATTAAGTCACCCCCAAAAGCACAGCCTAGCCGTTTTTTGGGGGGTCAAAAAAAAATAAGGCCGAGCCTTATTATGTGAGAAACACTGTATATACTTCGTTTTTATGGCTTTCCTAGAGTGCAGTTGGCTTCATGAGATGGTAAACATCTCTACTGACTGAAGGTTATAGTGCTTCAGCAAGCATTAGGAGTTCATGCAGGGAATTCCATAATTATTTCAGTTTTTATCTTAGCTTGCCTACTATATAGCACAGTGGTGGAATTCAAATATTTTTACCACCGGTTCAGTGGGCATGGCTTGGTGGGCACGCTTTGCGCATCTGCATGTGTGTGCCAAACACGCACTTTGCGCAGGCGCAGAGGCGTTTGCACAGGCACAGAGGTTTTCCAACTCACCTCCTGCAAGCCTGTACTCTCCCGGTCACTTCAGCAGCTGCCACGCAGCACTCTGCTGTGCATTGCAAAGCTGCACTTCAAATTCAGAGGTGAGTATGGGAGACCGGGCAGGTGGGTGGGCTCAACAGCAGCATGGCAGAGAGAACCGGTTCGGTCTCCGCTGCTCATCACCACTACTGGTTCAGCAGAACCGGGCCGAACCAGTAGAATACCATCACTAATATGGCAATTAGATGGGAGAAAATATATCTCATAAAGGAGCATCTGTTGATTCAGACCAAAGATTTGTTTTAGATAAAGTTGAAAACATATGGTTGCAGAGAGATCTTGGAACCAGTGGTAATCCATAATTATCATCCATACCTTCTACAATAACCACATATAATAGATGATCCATATTTTTTGCATGAATTATTTCTATCTAGGCTTTCAGCATAGCTTTTTTTTGCAGAAGTTCCCTTGCCTTACCTTAGACCACAAATAGGAAAAAGCTTTTAATTGGCATCAGAATGTTCTTGCCCTTCCTGGACAAAAATTGTTTGACAGCGTTTGGCTTACTATCTTTTCCAATGAGCCACATGGAATCCAGGTTACCTATAAGAGATTTTCCAGTTAGTAGTATATTAGTTAAAAGGTATTTTGTTGAATGTGTGTATGTTTTCTGTTTGTTTCTTGATCAATGTTTGTCTTAGATTGTGAATTCAGATAATTACTTTGGTTAATGACAGTTGTTGGCGTTTTTAAGTGATTCCATAAACAGAGGAGTCAACTACACTTCTTAATTTAAAATTGCTATGTAATTTTCTTTCAGGTAGCTTGCTTGCAACATTTGTAGTTACAACTGGAATCAAATTATCAGAAAGGCAATTGTTACACATTGCTCATGGTGAACTCTGAAAATTGTTAAGATAGCTGCCCCCAAAAGCTTGCTGAATATTGCTGAGGTCTGTTTTCTATTTCCGCAATAGGCAAATTACTTATTTGCCTATTGTGGAAATGGAAAATACATTTTTATTGTTGTTTTTTTCTTCTCAAAATTAGGCTCCTGCCTACGCCTCTGTAAACATAAAGGATAATTTAAAAAGCATTCTTAAGACACGAATGGAATTTCATTTCTTAATAATACCTTAACTGACTCCAAAAGCTTTAACATGTTTAACTAAATTGAGGAAAGTTATTGGCAACACATTGACATTCATGTGTTGGCATGGGTGAGGAGTATCTGGAAGAGGAGGAGACTGATACAAAAATAAATGTTTTTGGGGGATTTTTTGCTAGCATTTTTGGAATACATTTAACAATAGAAATTCTGCCTTGGACTCGGTTCTTTAGCCAAACTAGCAATAGTAATGCTACAAGCAATCAGTTGGAAAAGGTATCTGCTGAGCAAGTAGCTCTGGATTACTTACCTGAGAGAAGCAGATAAGGAAAGTCAATTTGCATCCTAAACAAAGATGATAGGAAGTTTGAAATGTGATGAGATGTAGCCCAGTCCTATTTTTAAGCTGACATTTCTGTTTTGAAAAATAACCTACAATATTATCAACCCGCCAAGACTCTTGCATTTCCTTATCTCTGTATTCTAAAGATGACATCTAAGAAGTTGTTCAATTCTATTCTTGTAAACAACATTTTAAGGTGAGCTTCAGGTGAAAGACCTTCCTTATTCTAGTTTACAGGTGGCAACCATCCTTCCTTATTCTTCTAGCTCATAGGTGTCAAACTTGCCATGTCATGTAATGTATCGTGATGGTTTTTCCCCTCGTGGAGCTGGGGTGGGAGTGGCCTGCACATGACATCTGGCCTGCGGGCCGCCAGTTTGACACCCCTGCTCCTTTTTCACCCCACCCCTTTTTCAGAAAATCTATTGCCTGCTTTCCTACCCTTCTCTTGAAAGCACAGGAAACTTTCCTAGACAACTTTTTTTCTTTTGCTTCACAAGTAACACAATACCATGCAGATCCATGATGTTATAAATAAGTACAGTAAAATAGTCTAGCAAATGAGTCATAGTGTATAGTATGTAAATTTGAGAATATATTTCATAGGCAATAGGGAGGATGAGGAGAGGAAAAGAAGCTGTCTGTACATAAGTAAAACCTGACTTATTTGATTCCTGATAATTCTGTGGATACAGGTAGTTATTTAGCAACTACAATTGGGACTGGCAACTCAGTCACTAAATGAAAAATCATGTGACCGTGATTAAGCTTATGATTTTACTATGATTTTCCTTTCCTTTACAATATTAGAAGGATATGGCCCAAAACAAATGGATGAGCCTAAATAGCAGGGAAGGTTTCTGTAACCCGACTCATAAGGAAGTTGAGTAAAAGGGCAAATCTTACAGGTTTTTTTCCTCCAACCTTGGGAATGCTCATCCCAGTGCTTGGATGATTAGGAAGAATTAATAATTTTCTTTGTCATTAATTGGAGAAAAAGAGATTACCAGCGAATAAGCAGATACACAATAGGGAATACATCAAAAAGAATGCAGTTAGTATGACCTGTTTGCCTAGGACTCTGGCAGCTCTAAGCTGGAGCTACTTAATAACTCCAATGTAAGTCATAAACATAAATGTGATATAACAGCAGTCACAAACCAAAATAACATAATTTTAAAATTGCATGGCATTGCATTTATACATTTTTCCTTAGGCTGCTATGCTTTGGTTTTTTAGTTAGGTTTTCATCTCATCTAGAACAAGTAATTGTCTCAAGTGTTTGAAGCTTCAAATTGTACTTATTTCAGTAAGGTAATTTCAAAAAGAAAGAAAGACAAAATGGGTATGTAAAATTGGATTTTAAAAAGTGCTTTCAATTTAAGGGTTTAATACGCAGAGTAATAACTAACTGGTTTGTTTTAGTTTATTTTTAATGTATTGGTACTATTGTAGCACTCAACAGGCTACAAGTGGTTCTTGTTATCAAAGTATAAAAGAAGATTTTGCAGTTACATTGTCCTTTTTTCTAGAATGTATTTATCAATTATATTTTATTTGCTTCTACTTTTGATACATTTTATATAACTTAAACAATACCAAAGGAACAAACTTGGGAATGTTGATCTTTTTGTGTTTCTTTCTAGCTTTAATTAAATATATTCGACCTGTATTTGTTTCTCGATCGGATCAGGATTCCCGCAGAAAAACAGTTGAGGAAATAAGACGGCGTGCTCAGTCTAATGGCAAATGGCCACAGGTATTGATAAAGCATCTTAATTTAATTGTATTTCTTGCTTGTTCAACATAATTGTCATCCCCACTTGGAATCCCAACAGTGGCTAACACAAATTTCAGTTTGAATTCAGAATTTTTCATTGCCTTGTTGAATTAGCATTTTCTTACTTCTCTCTTATACATAACTTGATTTAAAGTGGTAAACCTTCCTATAAGAACAGAAAAATTGCCTTTTTAAATAATACTTAGGAATATTTAGTCCATATTTCTATTTCTAAACATGGGTGATTTGCCCATGAATGTTTATGAAGGAAGATGCGAAGCCATCTTCTCTGAATGCTGGCAGGCAAAGAAAATATTGCTTTTGTTTATAGTTCTGATTTCATATAGATTTATTATGCTATAATAAAAAATTTGAAAAAAATGATAATTCATTTGAATGAAATTTGTGATTCATTAGCATTCTAGTTCTTTTGTTTAATAGATATCAGAGAGCTCTCTTCTATGGTTTTGCAGGAAATTACGAGACTCAGACCTTGGAATCCAAAAATAAGTTGGTTTTATTTGCGCAAACAGGTTCAGAGTATTTTAGTGAGAGTCACTTCTGAACAAATTTCTTATAGAACAGCACATGCCTGTATACTTCTTCAGAAGGGGCAAAACATTGAAATATAACTTGTCAGTCATTCATTGGTTACTTGAAACACAGCTTTCCCCCTCCCCTGTTGCTAGGCTAGGATGGCTGGATGTCACAAATATGAGTTTGTGATCGATAGATGATCCTTGTGGTTTGGCTTTTCACACTTCCTTGTTCTTTCTCTTCCTAATGCTACATATTTCACTATCTATAAAATTTGTATCATTATTTCTCTAAAATTAATATATTTTTATGTCCTGCCTTAGTGGTGGTTGTTCATTTTACTATTTACAGTGATCGGAATTTCAATTTAGTATAATACACATAGTGGTGAGAGAGTTTTTAGGTTATGGTAGAACATTTGAGCTTTTTTTTCTTTTCTTGAGCAATTCTGGAACTTTCGGTTATTTTTTCAATATGCATACACATAGTTGTGAGAGATGAATGATCTTTTTATTTTAAAACCTGTATTTTTACGCAGCTGCCTCCTTGGCTTAGGAATTGTGCTCATCTACTAATCTAGGATTAGCAATACAGGAAAAAAAATCCCCACAGGCAGATGAGCAAAGAACATGTGTGCCCGGCATATTGAGCTGACCAGGAAGTCTGAGTTACAGTCCTGTACCTTCATCAGATTTTCTTCATCTTCACTCAGTCTTCTTCTTTAGATGTTTCCCAGTACATTGTGGGACTTGTGCTTGGCCTTCTTTTCTCACGCTACTTTCGGCTCTATGTATCATCCCCAACCACATTTTCTTCTTCATGTTATTGCCTTAAGTGGATGACAGCCACAGCAGTCTTCAGAGTACACAACATAAGCACTCAGAGGAGAATTGCTGAGGAGGAGGACTTTTTTTTTTTTTTACTGTGTGGCTATTTTATAAGAAAGGGAAAGGAAAGAATCTAGTAGGAACCATTTTAAGGGACTTAATTAGCATATGTTTATTTTGCTTTTTATTGGAGAAGAAAAAGAATGTGGAGTATCCAGTTGGTGTGGTCAGGTATAGGCTTTAATTGAGAGGATTTAGTGCTGGGTACTTTTTTTTTTCTTTTTAGAAAAGAAAGAGGAAGAAAATAGAGCAAAAAAAAGTATCCAGCATGGTGCTGAACAGAAAAGCATTGTCATTGGTTGAGTTTCTAGGATGATATGCTGAAATAAAAGAGTAGAAATCCATTAAAAGTGTTGAAGGTCTTTAAAATAATAGGATTGTTAAATTGGAGTCCACTAAAAATAAAGAAATGAGTAAGTTCTGAAAACAAAAAATAGACTCCTATGAACAGAAACATAGGGAACATTTGAATGATTTTAGAGCAATAATTGTGTGCTTCAGAAGGGAAAAGTCTCAGCAGTTATTCATTTCTGAGTAAAGTAAGCTTAGAAAATATGAGTATTCTTTCCCTGAGAATTTCCTTACTGATTCATACAATTATGTCTCTTAATCAACTGTCATTTTCTCTGAATTGAACGCAGCAATTTAGCATTTTTATAGATATAGTGATCATTGTGTTCCCTTTTTCTCAGCATTCTCCAATTCTCCAATTTAATACAGATAGTCCCCAACTTATTACCACAAATTGCAAGGGTGGTTTGGCCATTCCTGGAAGTGAGCTCCCTGAATTGGAAGCAGTTTCAGGAATTCCAAACATGGGCTCTAAACTCTAAGGAGATAGATTTGTGGCTGCTTTCACAGTGCATTTTTTCTTAAGCAGTAAAGCGCTATCTTCTTAGATAAGAAGGAATGGGTGTATGGATAGAAAACATTTCATTGTACTTCCTGCCTTTTACAAAAAGGCCAAAATGAGAGTGCTTATATGGACACTAGACTTCATTAATTCTTTCAGAGATTACTACTTTCTTTCCCTTTACAAGTGCCTCGAGTAGCAAATTGAAGACTAAATTCTGCATTTGAAACGTGTTTCCTAAAAGAAAGTACTGGATGCCTAAAAATATTAACCAGACATTTTAATTTTTTTAAGATAATGATATTCCCAGAAGGAACCTGTACTAATCGATCCTGCCTAATTACATTCAAACCTGGTAAGTATTTTGTACAACTTCCCTTTAATAATTTTGGATTTTTCAACATGCAGTTCAATGTTCATTATTGGTTAGTTTCACTTCCTACATTACAGCAAATATGCCCTTTTCTGTTTGCTTCCTTTGTGGGGTAACTACTGAATATTTCTGTAACATTTATACACATGTAAATTTTATGCTTTGCAGAATTTAATTGACCAGAAATGCTTAGCCTGTTTAAAAAATTCAAATATTCATACAACTTTGTAAAAAATGACTATTCCCTGGCAAAATGCAAATGTTGTTCTTGATGTATGTGCTTTTGTGTTTACTTACTGTTATAACATTCAAGAAAAATGTCTTGAAAATATTCAGACTACTTAACTTGTGAAATATGTGGATATATTTGAATTTGAATGTACAGTATAATCTAGGTTTTTGTTATTGCGTATTGTCAATAATCGACTGCATTGTACTAATCTTTCTTAATACTACCAATTTCTGATCCCTTCCCCAATGGCATGACCTAAAGCTCTCACAGACAGAAAAAGAAAACTAAAATTAAAATTTGGAAACTTCTTAATTAAGGAGAAATGTTTGGTTTAACAGATTTCAATAACAGTTTCAATAACTGGATAATATACAGATGAAGTTAGAGATGACTGTAAAAGACTTTAAATAAATACCCTAAGTCCATGATGGTGAACCTATGGCATGCGTGCCAGAAGTGGCATGCAGAGCCACTTCTGCTGGCACGTGAGAGGTTGCCCGGAAGAGCTCCATTGTGCATGTGCGCGCACTGCCCGCTAGCTGATTGTCAAGTATCTGGTGTGGGGGGGCTGGGTGTGTGCGGGGGGATTGCACACACATGCGCAGAGATGAATGGCATGCGGAGGGCCTCGTGCATGCGCACAGGGTGTGTGTGTGGGGGGGTACTGGCACATGAGCGCAATTTTCGGCATGGGAGCCCAAAAAGGTTAGCCACCACTGTCCTAAGTCCTCTTTCATTGGAACTTTGACAGAGGACTTCAAAGAGTTTTGTACTCCTATGGGTAAATTACTGAACTCTAGAGAAATATAAAATGATGAACCAAAATAGGAATATTAATAATGCATATCTAGAAGGGTGCTAGCAATCTTCCAAATATGATGTTAATATCTGCATTGCAGAAACTGAAAAACACATAAAACAGTCTTGATTTGTTCACGTGATTTCTTCTTAATTTTCCAATTGATTTATCATGCATTTTTCTTCCATCTATTATCTGTTCCATTGAGATTATCAATAATAATGTCAATTACATTCAAATAAATATTTATAAGCCATAAACTTAAAATCTATGTGGAAAACCTATATAAAACAGATTTGTTTTCTTTTTTTAAAAAAAATGTGTCATTGGAAAACAAATATAAAGATATGCAATACGTTTCAAATTCAGTTGAGTATAAAATGGGTTATTTCATCTGGTTATTCCATTCTGGAAGTATTCTCGGATTGAAATGGCCCTAATTTGAGTCCAAAATGTTTATTTTAGACTCAAATCAGAATTCTTTAAAATTCAAAACTCGTATAAAAAGAGCAGAACCACCTGTTTCATCTTGTAATGTTTCTTACTCAAAGCACTATGTATATTCTAATGAACAAAATTGTAATAGAACCTGCTTGGTCCATTCTGGAAAATATATATCAACATCAAGAAAAATTGTCTTCAAGAAAAAAATAAAGTCCAGTTGCCTTTTGGAGGAAAAAAAAGCACTTTTGGAACAACCATGACCTGAGGGACTGAGAAGCTCCACAGACAAGTATCAGCATCAAGGAATTATACTGGCAGGAGAATATTGCTGTTCGTAGACAATTGTTTATGTTGTCTAGAAAATAAACACTGCTAAAGTATTAGCACAGATACTCCATTGCTCACGCAATCCAAAGTACAGGCTTAATCAGGCTTAGAACAGAGTTACTGGAATCAGCAGTACTTAAGTTAGATATAACTAATTTAATGGTCATTGATTTTAGTGGGTTCTCCTTGAATTTAGATCTAGTCAGTTTTCTTTAAGGCTGCAATAGCGTACAGTGAGAGATTGTTGTAATTAAATATGTATCCCATGAATATTGTAGGAGCGTTTATCCCTGGAGTACCTGTGCAACCAGTGATCTTACGTTATCCAAACAAGCTGGTATGTATTGTACTGATTGTGTATATTAATATCTGAATTAATATTGTCTATTAGAGGAAATATTAAGAATTGAAAGTATATTCTCAAATTTATTTCTTGAAAAACAAAGGACCAATACTAGATAACTGTTGATTTTTTAAATGTTCTATTGCAAGACGAATACTCTCTCGTACAGCATGAACTGGCTTAATTTTTTAGTGTGAGAGAGCAAATCAGGCATTTTCCAAAGTTAACAGTAATAGTTTTGGTCATTAATCAATTTCAGTTATAGTTATATAACTATATAATTATAATTCATTTATAATCATACCATTACAAATAATCTCTGCCTGCAAAGTTTGAAAATGGTAACTATAAATTTAAAAAATAGTGATGCAAAATTAAAAAAATACCGGAAAGCTAAAATCTTTTGGACATGATCAGTTTAATTATAATAAGATTTAAAGAAAACTTGTGTAATAGTAACATAAAATAGCACTTGATGGTATCTAAGCAAACTAATAGCAAACCCTGTAGTACTATAGATTAAGTGTGAGTATAATCTGAGCAATTAGATCTCAGTTAATTTTGCATTTGGCTACACAACGTTTAGCTGTATTATATAAGAAAATTACCTTCATGTACTTGTAACTGCTTATATAGTCAAGCAGCCTAGAAGATAATGGAAAAAGAAGAGCATTTTGAACATCTCTATAAAATAAGTAATGTCGACCAGTTTTTTTCATCCTTGATAACTTAAAAATATTTAGATTTCTACTCATGGCTAGGGAATTCTACAACTTGGTCCACATGTCTTAAAGTTGCTAAGGTAGAGAAATATTACAGTAAACAGAAAACGAAATGTTTTCAACTTGCCTAATGTTATAAAAGCACAATCATTTCTGAAAAACGATTGTTGTAAGACAGCTAAAGGGAGAACACTACAACAACAAGTAAAAACCTTTCTAAGATTGGGACTTTTGTAAGAAATAAGTGTAACAAAATTTTAGCTTTTATCTGTGATGGGTGAACAGAAGTCCTATTCATATCAGTTTAGCTCTTCTTTCTAAGCAATAGTCTTTCTTAGGGAAATCAGATTGGGTAGGGGATAACATTTATTGTGCTGGTTAGAAAGAATTGTTTTGGTATGAGTACAGCTGATACTTTAAGCTCCAAATTAAGGGATGTTCATTTCATATTCCAAGAACAGCAGTCAAGCATAGAACGGGCAAAATTAAAAATGGGATTGTAAATTGGACAGAATTTCTTCACACTTTTCTAAACTGAGTAGAAAAAAATTGGTAGGGGAATGTTTCCAGTAGTAATCAGAATTGTAGAGGGGTAGAATGCCTTTGAACGGACTAGACAAGGTGTCTTATTATATAACTCTGGCTGACTCTTCAGTTTCATTTTCTTATTGAGCACTTTCTTTCATTGCTGTTGACGTCCATTTTTCACTCTCACCTCTCAATTTCCTTTTTACTTCCCTTCCTTCTCTAATCCTTTGCTAGCCCATTCAACATTTTGGCTTTAAGTTGTGGACAATTACATATCATGAAAAGACTTTTCCTTGAAATATTCATTCCAGCCTGGGAAGGAAGGCCCAATAAGAACATAGTAGCAGTGATGGAAGTAGCCTATATTATGTTAGCACCATACACCAGTGCTGCCAGTCTTCCACGGTGGAAAAAAATACTTCAGATTAAAATAGCCCATGACTGCAGAATCAATCCAATAAGTGCAATTTTCTATTAGATAATATGCTGACATGCCATTACTGCCTGTGGCACTTTCTGAGGGTCTTCCATTCCATGGGTCCTAGACTTGTGTCCCATATTTCTTGGAATAGATATCCATTGTAATGCTTCATTATTTTATCTGCCTTGAATTCTTATTTTTGAGAGTGTAAATTAAAATTTTATTTCTAATACAGTAATAGAAATGTTACTTGTGGAAGACATAAAATTTGTATGTAAAGTTTAACACCTGGCTTTATATTTCTAATTATAAAAACATGAATAATTTTCAAAATCTTTGAAATGATATTGTGATTAATGTATCATATCTATCTACTGTTAAAGCGATGCTGTTTTTCTGATGAAGCCTGTTAATAGTAGCGCAGCAAGAAGCTGTGACACCTATATTTAAAACAATTATTTTGTTTGCAGGATACAATTACATGGACATGGCAAGGTCCAGGAGCGTAAGTCAGTGACATACTATTTGACTTATTTATTACTCTAAGATTTAGTGTGACATTCACCCTCCAAATTAGTTTTTGCTCAGATGTAAATAGCAGTCACTTAATATTTCTAAAATAAAAACTGACAATTGCGACCCAAACTGATCTGATTATTCTGAGGATTGTTAATGTTGTTGTTTGAGGCATGTTCTCTATGAAACAACTTTTAAAACAAATAGGATGCATTGTTAATACCTGTAGGATTGTGTATGAAATGAAAAATGTGTTTTGTTTTAACCTCAGAGCAAAAAGTGCAACTTGAAAATCATATCCCAATTTCCTGAACTGGCTATATTACATTGAAATATTTCAAATATCCCAACCATAGGAAGAAATGGGAGCTTGGAACATGATCCTTGCTCCCTCACTTCTTATTCTAATGTTGCAAATGGGGGAGGAGGGTGATATTCAGTACTAACTGCTATTTGCCACACCGTTTTCATTAGAATTGGCTATGATAATAATTTTTAATAAGAGTCACTAATGCTGTTTGAGACTGAAATACAAAGCTATTACATGAACTTTATGCATCTCTGTGTGAAAGGCTCTCTTTAAAGTGTATATAGCTTGTCAAGCAGCATAGCAGAGATAGCAATATTATTATGCATCCAGCTGAAATGATTTCTCCTTTCATGGTACAAAGGTTGAGGGAGTTTAAGGAGAGATGTTCTTATCTTTAATGGGAGAATTTTTAAAGATTTAAATTTAATTTTTAATTTAGAACTAAAATGAAACCACAATACTAGAATGGAATGCAAGGGAATAGACAAGGTTGCCTAAGTCAGATATCAGAATACTTTTCTGCAAAGCTGAAGTAGCAGTCTATTCCAGTCAAAATAAATTATTTGTAGTAATTTTTTCTCCAACAGAATAGAATCCAACATGACTTTTCACATGCTAAACCATGTGGTTAGTTTCTCTAGCATGCCAGCTCATGACACACCTCTAGCCTACATACCATTAGCCTAAACCAGGGTCCGGGAGCCATGTCAGGCCTGTGGGGTGCTTAGATCTGGCCCACAAGGCTGCCCTGGAAACAGCGAAGGACCAGCCCACAGTGCCTTTGCCAGTGAAAATAGAGTTTGCGAGGGCTGTGTGTGGCCCTCCTGAGCTCTGTTTTCACTGGCAGAGGGTGGCAGGAAGCCATTGCAGCTGAAAACAGAGCTCAGAGTCCGTTTTCGCTGGCAGAACACTTGGGCCATCACAGGCGCCCCCTGACATGACTGTCATCATGCTGGCCACGCCTCCTATCATCCTCTAAGGTCAAACACAACTTTGATGTGGCCCTCAGTGAAATCAAGTTTGACACCCCTGGCCTAAACAGTAGCATTAGATGCGTGACAGTGCCGATTGGTGTATTTGCTAGGGTAGAAAAAAAGTAACCTAATAATGAGTCACAAAATGTACCAATTGTGAGATATAAAAGAGCCCATATGTTTGAAAGGTCCTGAGTTTTGTTTCAAGAATAGACAAAAACATTGGAACATTAGTTGTGTCAAGCTCAAAAATGTTAATGTTAACAACAGAACTGATCATAGTATATGAACTTGTCAAATGACAAGATTTTTTTCATCTTTAGTGAAGTGTGCATGCATTTCCTGCATCGGATGAGGAGAGCACATCTTCTCCTTCTGCCCTGCCACTTTTTACAGAGGCACGATTGAGAGCGTTTTGACAAACTTCATCACTGTTTGGTTTGGAGGCAGCAGTGCCTCAGATAGAAGGTCCATACAGAGAGTGATAAGGACAGCTGAGAAGATTATAGGAAGCTTGCTTCCCATTATTCAAGATACTGCTTATAAGCGCTATGTGCTTGGAGCTCGAAGTATTGTTAGAGACCCCATACATCCACGGTCTGTTTCTGTTGCTCTCCTCTGAAAAGAGATTTTGTAGTATCAATAGCGGGACTACTAAATTCTGTAACAACATTGCTCTTTATACTATTCATCATGTATATTTGCAAGATTCTTTTTTTACCATGTATATATATACATTCAAACTAGACTGATATTTCTGTGTCATGTGTGGGTCTGTATATGCATAATTATCTTTTGAGAGCTGAATACAACAAAATTTCATTTTAATGAATCCTGATTAGTGCACATTTAAAGTGATATTAAAGCTTTAATCCATGCTGTTCTTCTATTTTATTCCTAAGGTTGACGATTCTGTGGCTTACCTTATGTCAGTTTCATAATTTTGTGGAAATAGAGGTAAGTATAATAATAAGTGTAATTAATCTGCACTTTACTGCATAGATATTGCTGATATTGGAAGAGAGAAATTTAAAAAAAAAACCCACAACTCACTTTTAGTGGTGTTCTTTCTGCATTTATGTGCAGAACATAATAATGGAGATTTATGACTTTTTTGTATAATAAGTATTTTTATTCAACTTCAAAGAAGTAATTAAACCAACCCAAATAATCAGATATGAAACTGATCTATGGATGGAGTAGGCAACTGAGGAGTTTTGTTGGCAGAGATGAATTCCTACTTAATAAAGTTAGCATAATTTTAGCTAAGCCAAGCTTTACATTTAACATTTAGCATTCATCTATCAGACTTTCCTGGGACATGTGTCTTCTTCAATATCCAATAGAGTTATTTTCGAGCAATATTTTCTTTCATGAAAATCAAAACAAATATTTTTTCTATCAAAATATAAAGCATCTCTATTAATATACTCTTATTCAGTACAATACAAATTTCTTAATAATAAAGATGCCTAACTTTTACTGGCCTGTATGAAAAGTACAAGAGGGTATGAGATCTTTAACAGAATTTAAATACTAATCGTTCATATCTGTTTAGGATGTAATTTCATTAATAACATTAAGAAATAACAAATTGAAACATGGTCATATATATTATAAATTAACATACTTCCCATGCTAATGGAATCTAAACCATATTCTTGGTGAACTGTATTTGTAACTAAGATTATTGTCTTATCTGCAGATAACTTTTTTATTAATGTCATTTTGTCCTTACACCTTTAACTAATGGGATTTTAATTATTCTTTTATCCCTGAATTGTTTAAAATTCTTAAGACCAACATATAAAAGTAGTGAACTTTGTTTGACTTTCTTTTACTGCAATTTCATGATACAACTTTCTCACAAAGAACTTTTGATTTTTCTCAAAGAAAAAATCCTTATGTTCTGTTTTATTTTTTTATTATAGTACAGTCCCTACAATGTGCATATTTTTCTAAAGAAAAATTGTGTGTGTTAGAGTATAGTTTTTAAAATAGTTAACTATTCTGCATTAAATATTGGTAGTGCTTCACTTAATTCATAAAAAATTACATTGTATTTTGAAGCAAATTAGCAATTTTTGTTTTTGTGTAGCTATTTCTTAGCTTATGCGACAATTTAGATTGATAACAAGGTAGTGGAGATATTCTTCTGTGTCTCCAATGTATCTGCAAACATTGTTCACTCGAGTTATTTCAGATGTCTATTACCGTATATACTCGAGTATAAGTCGACCCGAATATAAGCCGAGGCACCTAATTTTGCCACAAAAAAACTGGGAAAACTTATTGGCTCGAGTATAAACCAAGTTTTTCAGCACATTTTTTGTGCTGAAAAAACCCCCCTCAGCTTATACTCAAGTGAGATTCCCTCTGAAAAAAAAAAATGGTGTGGAGCTCCGGAGCTGGGCAGCCGCTTCCCTGCTTCCGTGTTTTCTTTGCAACTTGTAACATGGGGGTAATCGGAAGCAGAAAAGTTCTTGCATAAGGATGTATTGTTTTTTCTTTATTTAACTGTTTTTAGGGGGCGGGGAAAGTCCCATCGTCATGTGAGAATGCTCAGACAGGAAATCTATCCGCCTGAAAATAAGTGTGTGTGTGCGGGGGGTGATTTTAACAGAGGGAAGACATAGGGAGAAGGCAAAAGTGACGGGAGATCCTTCAGGAAAAACTGAGGGGGAGACTCACCCTTGGTCCAGATGAGCCCCCTTCCCCGCCCCTAAGGAAGCAGAGGCAGCCAGCAAGGGCAGGCAAGCCCTGCTTCGCGGACTCTGTCCGTCCTCGCTCCCACCCACCCACCCAAAGCCACAAAGTCCCCCAATCACGCAGCCCAGAATCACCCTCCTCTCAGGGAGCAGCAATGACGCCCGGTGTTTCCTGAAACAAGAAGCTCCGCCGTGCAATGAAAGCGCCCTGGCTCTAGGCTCAGAAAACAACGCGAGCCGAGGTGGCTTTGTTTCCTCAGCCCTAG